TGCCAGATAGAGAGGTGTGATTCATCACTCTACAGAATACATTGCCACTGCTCCAGAGTCCAGCAGGGGCGCTTTACTCCACTCCATTCAACACTTGTCATTGTGCTTGGTGATGTAAGGCTGCATGCAGCTGCTCGGCCATGGAAACCCTGCCATGAAGCTCCCGGCGCAGTTTTTGTGCTGATGTTAATTCAGAGGAGTTTCAGAAATCTGCAGTTATTGATGAGGAGCGCATTGGTGGCTTTCATGCTCTATGCTCCTCAGAACTCGACAACCCGCTCTGTAACAGGGCTGTCTTTCTCCTTTAAAGACCTGATTTTCACTGTGAAATTTAGAGAAATCCATGCACATTAATATTAGGGAATCAACTAACACATGACCATGACAGCTCTACAGTCCATGTGGTCCTAAGTCTTCCCACTGAGCCCCCTTCAGTCTTTAGCAACCATTCCAGCTGTATTAGCCTATTTTATTGTTTTCTGATATAACCTACAAGTCATGTTATTGTTTTCACATTGTATTGTGTTCAGTCATGTTCATTTTAACACCGTAAAGCATAGAATTGCAGGTCTGGCCAGCACAGAGTGTTCTGCTCTCCCTCAAACTGCCACTGATATTCAGGTCCCATTTTGATGGATTTGTTTGCTACTTAATATTTTCAAAAGTTTTATTTAAAATATCTCAGTGATGACATGACACCTTAGTCACCAACATTACTATATTATGTACATTATATTGTTATTTTTTCTTTCTTTTAGTTAAATGCTATTCTGCTGTGCTGTTTCAGCTCTATTTCTGCTTTACTGTTCATCACTTTGGAGCTCTAGCATTTCATTTTAGACCAAAATGAAAAAGAGAAGAACAGAGCTGTACAAACCTCCCGTCCTGTACTGATATATGCTGGATGTACTAAGAAGATCCACTGCAGTTCTGTAGGGAACTCAATACTGCATATTTGAAAATATGACTTTTTGACTCAACTTTTATTTCTACAAAGCACTTTAACTGGATGATTTTAGGCTCTTCGCACCTGGTCATCAAAACCCTTAGAGGAGGAATTTATTCTGTGAGTGTCTGCTGGTGTAAAGGGGAAAAGATTGTAGCTGAAAAAACTTAAAATTGTCTCCATAATTAAATAATTAAGATGTAAACGGAGACATTCAGAGTGGTTTAGTGTGAAATGCTCTGTTCTAGAGAAACTTACAGAGTCAGGATTGTTCACAGTGGTGGTGACTGGAACCAGACGTCCACCTCTAAAAGCTCCCTCACAGAAAGTTATTACATGAAATGGTTGTGAACAACTGCCTGATGTCTGAGCCAACACTTTTGAGAGATTGTTTTGTTTTGGTTTATTTTTTCCACTATTTTCCATCAACATCCCATATAAAACTCAGAAGACTCGTGTAGGTTCACTGGTGGTTTTGGATAGTAAATAAAATGTCTATGTTTGTGTTGTAGTCATGGGGACCCTGGTTCCTATCACCACCACTGTTAAGAAATCTGAGCCATTTCACACCAAACCACTCTGAATGACTCTGTTTACATCTCACACATTGAAAATGTGACCAATCAGTGGAATTTCCCCTTTAAGATGCCTTGAGACATCCATAGACTATATTCTATACACATCTCTTATGCTTTCTTCAGTAGTGCAACATTTAGTCATGGTAGATCTTCAGATAAAAGTCTATGTTGAGCTGAACGTCAGTTTGTAACATTGTCTCAATCTGCGGCAGTGAATGAGAGTCTAACCTCATTTTCATAAGATACTTGCCGATTTGCTCTGCTGTTTTGCTCTGGAGTGAAAAAAGAAAAAAAATGTTCTTTTCTTTCATGTGAAAACAAATAACCTGGACAAAGCCCAGATTCATGAAAATAACCCCGGATGTGGTGGTTTTGGTGGTGGTGGGATGGAATTTGGTTTTGGTGGTACAGAGGGTGGTAGGATGGAGTTTGGTGGTGCTGGCCCCCAAGAAATTCGATTCTAATACAAATCTGAACCATTTCACACCAAACCACTCAGAATGACTGTGGTTACATCTCAACCACTGAATTATGAGACAATCAGTTTGGAAAATCAGTGGACTTTAAAAGAATAATACTTTCAGAGCTTTGATTGTGCAGTTTAAGAAGAAAGAAGATACTTAAAACACTGGGACCATTTTTAATATTATATGATCTTCCTTTCTTGAATTCTCACTCTGTAAGAGATCAATGGGGGGAGTCATTCTAAAATTCCTATAATATAAAACAGTGATACTGCAATTATTGAGGACCTCAAAGAGACGGAGCTCATCAAATGAGGCCCAATTCACATATTGGTGTGTTCATTTTGTGTTCATTCATATATGACTTAAATAAAAGACTCACAGAGGGGATTAACAAAAATGAGCAAAAAGAAACTTAAGCTGTCTTACAGTCAGTGCACTTACATGCACTTAATAATCAAGAATCATAATCAGATTTCTGCAGTTATCTGATTATTCAAATGGCCATGTAAACAGCATACTGAGATTTCAAAGATCGGAGAAAGGTCTAGAAATCTGATTAAGAAATCTGATAAAGAGAGCTGGATTTTAGTAATCAGATTTCTCAGTGCTCTAAACTCTTACTCTCGTTTTTTGTTTTTCTCAGTCTGCGCATGTGCAAAAACAGATGGTGGTACCGGAAATAAGCGAGCAAAATCAAATACATGCTTGAAGAAAGTAAGGACTTAAATATTCTTCTAAATGATGTATGTTCATATTTTCAGGTAAAGCAGCGTGATGTTTTTTTAAAAAATAGTTTGAGTTTTATGTTACGTTTACGTTCATGTAAACTCATGACTCATTTTGACCCGGAGTTTCCCCATTATCTAATTACTCAAGCGCATGTATACGCGTTGATCGGATTACTGACAAAATCTGAATTTTTTCAGTCATCGGATTGTTAAGTGCATGTAAACACACTAAGTGTTACTTCTGCCATCTGTTTTACCACCAGTGCAGAGTTTTATTCAGGATGAGCCCAAATCAGAGGAGTGTAGAGATTCTTAAACTCATCCTCCAGTAAAAGTATCATTAATGTGGTGAAATAAGTGAGTGGAAGAACAAACAGCAGCTCAAAAACTGCTTAAGTACTGAGTACCAATGTCTTAGTAAAGCTGTAGAAATGTAAAGAACCCAGCTAGATGACACAGTCTGAATAACAGTGTAATCAACCAACGTGGACAGATATTCAGACTAATACTGGGGAAACAGAGACCTCTTGTTCACATTTCACACTGTTCTGGTTTAAAAGGCAAGTAATCTCAAGACTGCTGATGTGGACTAGTCTAAACTGGATAGTGACAACTGAGTCAGCACTACTGTCACCTGTGTGAAAAGTAATTGCCCCTTAAATTTAATAACTGGTTGTGCCAACTGTAGCAGCAGGAACTGCAACCAAATGCTTCCTATAACTGGACATCAGGCTTTTACATCACTGTGCTGGAACTTTGGCCCACTATTCTTTGCAGAATTGCTTTAATTCAAACCCATTGGAGGGCTTCAAGGCATGAACTGCCCATTGAAGGTCCTGTCACAGCATCTCAATAGGGTTCAAGTCAGGACTTTTGGGCTTCAGATCACAGACTGATGACTGGACATTCTCCTGCAGGATTTTCTGTTGTAGATCAGAATTGATTCTGTCAATTATGGCAAGTCACCCAGGCCCTAAATCAGCAAAGCATCCCCCAGCATCACACTATCACCACCATGTTTCACTGTCTGTTTATTCAGGTGATATTTGTGTTATATTACATTTTGTTTTAAGAACTGACATAAGTTCAATAAATATGCAAAGACAGAAGGAATCATGTAGGGGGCAAATACTTTTTCACAGCACTGTATCCAAAGATTGATGGTAGCTGGTAGCTTTTAATAAATACAAACAAACATAAAAACAGTACAGCCTAATAACATTTTCAAAAGTTATTAAAACTAGAATAATCGAGTTAGTATAATTTAGAATAATACAGTCAGAAGAACACAGGTTTGGTATTATGAAGCATAAAATCGGCCAATAGGGATTGAACCTCCTGCTCTCCCCAACGCTCCACCTATGATTTTCAGGTAATTTTGAAATTTTGATGCATTTGTAGTTTTCTGGGTCTTTTCAAATACTAATACCCAAAATGTACTAAAACACACTGCAGTTCTGTACTTTTGGTTTTGCTGCTGTCATTAATGGTCAAAAACACACATGAGGGGTCAGATTTGCTGCAATTCTTTATTTTTCAGAGCTTCAGTCAGTCAAGAAAGGCTCACAACAAGAATGATACAATTGTATTATTGTATGTTAAGTGGTCTGCAGAGCTTTGTGCATACATTGCTCACATATTTCTACCCAGTGATTGTTTCATAACATAAATCATCAGGCAACCAGCGCTTAAGTTGTTCGACCAAACAACTTTTTTAGTTTTTCAAAAACAGAACTTTTCATCTCACCAACCAGTTCACATTTCATGTTGCTCATTGAACCTGCACTGCGCAACTTGTAAACATGTTCACATTTACAAAAATCCTTTAGAATAGGATTTCTACATTCCTTTTGAATATCTAATACACGTTCTGGTTCAAACTTTTCATAAGGGGGTATCAGCACTTCAGCCTCATATTCAAATTTTGAAAATTTTGATATATCTGCACCTTTGCATGTGCAGATGATAAAACATGTCTTGTTTCCAAATCGCAGGGAGGGATTACGTGAAGAAGAACCAAAACTACCAAATCGCACAAAGCGGCTTGTTATGGAAAGTGTATCCCTCACAGTACGGTAAGTGGTTATACATTTTCTCTTACTAAGGTTTCGTATGGCATCTGTTATCAGAAAGTGTAAAGAGATCAGCCCAAAATCGGTCGTGTAGTTGTCTTTACCAGTACGCATTTTACAGTTAAGTTGCCGATAAATTTCGTCTCTGGTGTAAGCACGGAGGGCTATTTCTCTCAACTTGTTGTTTGATAATTTATAGTTGTCATTGTTTCCTAAATTAAGTTCATGTTTGGCATTATTCCAAGCTGCACTGAAGTTTGCATTGCGACTCAATTCAATCTCCAGTAAATTCTGCTGTGGATTTTTATCAGTGATCTTCTTATACATTTGTTTGTGGCATTTTTTAAATTTATCATCAATGGAGTTTGGATATTCATCCATTTCGATCTGAAACATAATGAAAAACCCATTATAAATTAATAATAATGATAAATGTAATAAGTACTAGATGTGTAGCAGAGATCTCAAGACACATTTTTTACATCTTTCAGGTTGTCTTTTTGCAGTGATTAAACGTAGTAATAGTATCCTTTAAAATAATAACTACAATGAACTGATAATGTCAGTTTGCTACATACTATACATATATCGCTGTGGATCACAGCGCTTCCAAGAGGTGGTGCTTGGTGCTGTGCCCTGTTGTGCTCTGGGGCCTATGAGGAAAAAATAACCTGTGATACTTTGTCTTCACCAAAACAAGCAATTTGGACAAAGCTGATAAAACTGCTCACAATTCCACTTCTTACTGCCACAGTCATGTGCACAGTGAGGATGAGGATGAGGAAGAGGCGTATCATTGCAGTTGCTTGTAGCATCTTCATTGTTGACCTAAAGTGAACAGAAACAGGTGGGATTACAGGTGGGGTTACTGTAATAAAGAGAGTTTGAGTATGATTTTTAAATTTGCCTTATAATTTTACTCAAATGCAGTCAAATGGTTTTGGGGGGTCAGCAACACATGGCTCTGAAGCTGCATTCGGCTCTTTTACTGCCCTGTTGCGGCTCCACAGCAGAATTAGATTTTTATGTAAAAAATAAAATAATCCTCCTTTGCAGTAAAATAAAGCTCTGCTGATTGTTCTAACAATAACAATAGATGGTCCTGAACACTGGAGTTAATGTATAAATGCAAATTCACCCTTTAACCCTGAAGATCAGCACACAGACTGCTGGTCACCATAGCAACACAGATAACAATCTTACCCAGCTAGTAGCTAATGAAACGACAAAGAGAAAGATTTAAGAAGAACATTTATGGTTTGGAGACGAATGGACTTATTTGCATTTATAATCACTACATCTGGTTTCCACTTTTAACGTTTACGTTTAATCTGTATCGAGAAACTGTCAAAAAGTCGTGAAGCTGAATTCAGCTTCTCATTCAAATTTTTCCAAAGGTGCTATTTAACGTGGAACAGGAAAATTCAAACAAGAAGCTGGTGAATGAGAAGCAACTTCAGCCTCGTAAACAATCGAACATTGAGAAGCATTTTACAAGAAACTGTTCTACTTTTGTGGGAAAGTTTCCTGCCAGAGATGCGAGAAAAGCGACGATACCTGAGCTAAAGCTAAAAGCATTTCCCGGTTTTGTTGACAATGCCTTGTCCCTAAACATGTATGTGTTCTTTGCTGCTTCAACTTAAATGGAGATGAAGAAGCTGAAGTAGCTGCTAAGCAGACAGTTCTATCACCTGTTGTTTGCTTTAAACTGAAATGAATGTCTAGCCAGTGACGATTCTGTGCGGTCCACAGTCCAGCCCAGTCTGAAAAAAAGAGGCTTATTTTCCATTGTTGCCATTCGCATACATGAAATTTAACTTGCATGGCAAACTAAAAAGTTTTGAAACTCCGTATTCTCATCTTCCTTGCCTGCACAAAATCATAAGATCGTAATAAAGAGCTGTGAAATGGCCAGTCTTACCTTTTACTCTGGTAGAAGCTGTTTCTGCTCCACTGAGCTCTCTGGGTCTTTATAAGACACTGACAGCTTGACGTGTTCAGGAATTTGCAGGAAATGACTTCACATGTTGATCGTTCTCTGTGTTCCCTTTTTTTGCATTTTAACTCACAGAGCAAAACTGTTTGTCAAAAGTTGTTTTTTTTTTTTAAGAATGATGACTTGAAAATAAAAAAGTTTCCTCTAAGTCAGTGTTGATCTGTTGTACTGTATTAATCTGAAGACACAGGTCAAACCAGAAAGATAGTTGTAGTGTATTTTTGGTGAAAAAATCAAGGAAGAAAAAGAGAAAAAAAAAAGTTTTGTTTTTTGTTTTGTTTTTTTCCGCTCTTTTTTTTTAAAAAAAAAGTCAAACTTAGATTCCAGCTGAGGTCAGCACATTGGTAATTTTACATGATTGCTGAGTTATTTAGAGGGAAAAATAGGTAGTAATAAGTGTTACTGTCTAAGACAAGATAACTATAGGGCCAGTTTCCTGGACTAAATTGTAATGTCAGTGATATTTCTCTATTAGAAATACCACAATGGGAAATATGATTAGTCTTAGTCAAAATCTGAGTCTGGGAAAACTGATCTTTAGTCATAAAAATTGTATCCATAACCAGAAAATCCTTATAACTGTGTAAATATGTAATTTCCCAGGCTTATTAAAGTGTACTATTCAGTGACTCTATGGTTAGCAATATAAACAGGCTAAATCATTTAAACGTATAGTATAGAAGAATGGAAGCCTGGACCTGCCAACCACTCCTGACCATTTAAGGAGGTTCATTCTGCCTTGTTATTAATTGCTACATTGAATTGCTTACTGCTTAGTGAATCATTTTATTCATGGAAGGCTGCATTGCTTCCAAAGGCCCTGGAGATCTTGGTAGAATCTATGGTGTCATGAATGCTGCTGGGATCCAGAACATCAGTTCCCAGAGTAAAATGTAGCTGCTTCTGCCAGGAGACTAAAAAACTGATGTTTGCTCTTCTAGCAGCACAATGATCTAAAGGCTTCCTCAAAAATTCCTCAAGCCTCAAGTAGTCAGTTGACTGGCAGTAAAAACTACTGATGGGAAAAAAACATGGGTTATATTAATGTTAGATATGAAAAATTCAGATCATTGTAATGTTGAGTTATGATTATCACCTCCAACATGAGATTCTGATGAACCCAGAGATTTACATAATAACACACTACAGTTCTACACACCTTAACACTGTCATATGCAGTTGTGAGACAAAGATTGTGAAGCCTTTGGGATTTTGTGGATTTCTGTGTAAATGGCTCCTAAAGTATGTGTGTGTGTGTGTGTGTGTGTGTATATATATATATATATATATATATATATATATATATATATATATATATATATATATATATATATATATCGCTGTTGTCAGAAAAAAACCTCGTATCTACAAAATGGTAACTTTACAGGAGAAGGAAAAAACCTACTTTACTTTTAATGTAAGTAAGTGGAACCAGACTTTTTTCCAAGTCATTTTAGATCATTTCTTTTAGTCTATTCAACATGAAATTTACATATAATGTAAAGGGTAACAGGTATTTTTAAATTATGTCAAAAACTGAAAAACGGTGAAAATGGAGATACAACGTTTTCTTCTGACAACAGTGATATATATATACATATAGTTGGACACAAGCATGTTTTTTAACAGATATGCTTACATAAGTGAAAACTCTCGCCATAAGGTTAAGGCCTTTCCTGTTATCCTCAAAAAGCAGAAAAACAGTAAAGCAGAAGAGGAACAACTCAGGACCCTAACTGCAAACTGAGGCTTTCAAAAATACTAACTGTTCTGGAATTTATCAAGACATCGGTTCATATAAGCTCCTGGCCTTTTCTGATCTAATGTTTCAGAGCGTACCGTTCTTGATCAAAGCCTTAATTGTCAATTGTTGATCAAACCAGTCAGGACAGAGTCAGCCTGTCAGAACATAATGGTTACATGCCGACAATATAATGGAGTTTAAATCACCAATCACCACATTCCTCAACAATAAGGCAGAATACCTGAGTAATAAAGGCAATATAAAGAAAGAAAAAATATTAAACACCAGTAGAGTCAAAATCACTGTTAGGGATAAAAATGCAGCAGAACGTGTTGAGCACATGACACACACCTCCCTCTTACAGTACTAAGACATATAGAATTTTCTATTTTCCCCTGTTGGTCATGATTAACTAACTGCCTACCGTATTTAAAGAGCTCATAGATAACAAGCAGCTCTCTGGAATGGCTCATGATTGGCCGATGTCTCTGATGTGTTAGTCACGTGATTCACTGTTGCATCCTGGGAAGTGATTTGTAGGAGATCAGCCTCTGAACAGACCAAGCCAGATAGAAGCATGACAGCTGATGTAAAGCATGACAAACAACTATTATCATAGCTTACAATATGGCTGTTGCACCCTCAGAGAAGTGTTCATTTAGCTCAACTCAACAACTTCTCCTTCCTGCCAGTTGAGGCGTCCTTACATTTCTGACCCAAGTTGGTTTCCCACCGGAAATTCCTCTGCCAGTGCCTTGGTTAGGGGCAGACCTTCATCTGGTTTGATGACCTTATGACACTGTGAGCAGTGGATTCACGTCTCCCTTTCAGTTACTCGGACTGCAGTTGGAGTGGTTGAGAGTGCTTTCCAGGTCAGTTACAGGCCTTTCTCCTTAGAACCCTCACTACCACCCAGCTGTCCCCTTCTAGGCAGTGAAGCTGTCCCTCAACCGGGTTGTGAAGAGCAGCTTGAACCTGTGAACATGTAGTTATCATAGGAAACCCTGTAAATGTCCCTGAAATAAGAGGTGTTTTCTCATTTTTAGTTATTCATTTATGCCTCAGCTTTTCATTTGAGTGTACATGTAAGACTGTCTTTAAAAGCATTTTACGATGAAACGTCTTGCTTGTGCACTGTTATGAGTAATCTCAAGGAATAAAACATGCTTTATCAGAATATGTCCTCTATTACAGATAAGGTTACAAATCCCCTTTTATTTTTGTTGTTTTGATCTAGCTCTGGAACTGAAATCATCATGAATCATCAGTTCTTGAGTTGGCCATTCTTCAGCTGGGGTTGCTACAAACCCTGTGACCACTTCATCTGGCCAGATGCCTGTCTGTCAATTAGCCTGCCCTTGTGTGTGCATAGTACTACAGAAATTGCCTGTACCTAATTATGGCCTTTATCAAGGGAAACTTTGGTCATCTTCGTCTGATTGATTGATTCAGTCATTTTACTGCACCACCAGATTGGGAACAATAAGCACAATATATTTTCAGATTGAATCTGAGCCCTTCTGAAAGATGTGAAATAACTCTTCACAAAATGGGCACCGTTATTTGAAGAAATTTGGGTACCATTAGACAAAGAAATTTTCCTCGGCACCCTCCCATCTCGGGAGAACATCCATCAGGAGGCATCTTGCCACACCTGCTGCATCTTGTTTCATGCAAGGAAAACACAGGATAGTTAGAGGTCATGCAAATGACCACCAAACAGTATGATAAACCTTGGGCAGGGGTAAGTTCAATAAAGCCAAACATTAAATGTTCAAAAATTAAAAATCAGTGTTTGATTTGCACCCAGAAGGATAAGCGGTTTAGATGATATGTGTGTGTGTGTGTGTGTGTGTGTGTGTGTGTGTGTGTGTGTGTTTGATTTGCGTGCTGTACTGTTTTAATGCCTTTCCCTAGATTAATTTGGAGACATGTTTGGCACGGGGCACAATATTGTGTGGCAATGGTTGAAAACGCCCGCTGGAATCAAGCCAGGATGCTGTGGCACAGTTCCACTAACAATGTATATGCCAGAGTTTCAGATCCATTTTTGTGGCAGAAGAGGAAGCAAGAGAGTGTTAAAGAAGGAAACAGGCTCAAAGGAGTCAGGAGATATTCAGAGCAGCTCCCTTTCCAAGAACTGATTGTGTGGCAGCTGTGTCAACTAGGAAGAGGACTTCTTTACCATTAACAGACAAAATAAATTGTGGTTCAACAGTAGAGATGTTGGTCACTTTGAGTAATTGTTTGGTCTGCTCTCCTGCCTCATGCTATTTAGGCATATGATTGAAAACAGTAAAGTTAGGGTGCTGTTGTTGATTATCAGGGCATTCTCTGGCCCTATGACCATGTTTGCCACAATTAAAATGAGTCCCATCACTGGGCCTACCTGCATCTCGATCTTTGCCTCATTCTCATTCCCAGGGCAGTCCACATCCAGCATTCTGCCCACTCCATGTTGGAGTCACAGTTTTGATAGTATATCAGCTGTACCTTCTGAAGTGTTGCTCCCTGCTACACTTTGCTTGGCGTGCATGGCAAGTCCAGCGTAAGATTTGGCTTCCAGCCTATGTGTGTCTGTTTAGCCATTCTAGCAATGCTAAAGCACATGTGAACCATATTGTCCCTTTGTGGCTTTGTTAGCCATACCACAGTGTGCTTCAACTAAGTGGAACCGGCGATCCAAAAAGCCATCCAGCGATCCACAAAGCTGTCCGCTTTTCTGTTGACATGAGTCCATTCCACATTGGTTAAAGTCTATAAGTCATCTAGGGCATTCATGTCATTGATGCAGCCTTCAGTGTTTGTCTTTGGGTCTTGAATATTCTGGATCATGGCCTTCATCTCAGGAATCTCCAGTGCCGATAGATATGGATGGTCAGATGGTGGACTTCTGTCCAGTGGGATCGTATCTTTTCACATTCTTGTTCAGCTTTATTTCATAATTTCATTTTTTTTCTCATCTACTTTTTATGTCTTTATTATGTGGGGGACCAGAATCCCTTCTTTCCTTTTCTGAGTTTCCATTTCCCATTTTAGCAATTTTTATAATTATGCAGACTCAGTTACTTTCTCTCTCTCTTTCCTCCTGTGAAAAACAATTCCACAGTTTGATTTCTTTTTTTTCAATTGGAAGATAGACATGCACACAAACAGTCCATATCTTACTTTTCCTTACATACACTAGACTTCCAGGAGAGTCCACTCTCTGAAATGAAAGACTTTTGATCCTAAAACCTCACTTTTCTACCAGATGCACTCCAGCATCACAGAAAAGACTGGTGGTATGGTTAGAAATTTGGCAGGAGGAGTCAGAACCTGAACATCCAGTCACCTGAGTTTTATTCATGTGCATGCAGAGAATCATGCACGGGCACAGCTTGGTCATCAGTCTGTCACCAGTCCCATGAATACATAGTCTGACCTGGTTTACGTTGAGATACTGTGGGTCAGGTGAGGAAGCAAAGGGGAAGGTGAAGTGGGAAGAATCAAAAGGTTGGGGAAGAAGGTGAAGGAGCTCTTGGGTCAGGGGAGGGTGAAGATGTTCTCACCTCAGCAAGAACAATACAGATAAAACATCAAAGAACACACAACTGTAAGACAATACAGCTGATACAACAAAAGGACAATATATATTGGAGCACAGAAGAAAGCACATGTGAAAGGACCTATACTGACTCACCTGTCTAGTGTCCCTGATACTATTGAGGCACCAGACCTCAAAACGAGGTTCCAAACCTTAAAACTCCAAATGAGCAAAGACAATAAAATTGACCTTACCCCGTCACAGAGGTGAGTCAGTATACCAGAACCAGTTAGAGTGTCTCACTCAGCACAAGGAATCACTCTCCTTTTAATGTGGGGTGACCGCCCTGGATTCAGCAATTTTCAGCCGTGAGTCTGAATGAGTGTTTATTAAAGCTTCTCCATCAGGAGCCTGGGACAGATTTTGGTTTAAACCTCACTCTTGAAGGTGTGAATGTTCAGACAGAATACAGTGGCATGCAAATGTTTGGGCCATTCTTTTCAAGATTTCTGTTACTGTGAATAGCTAAGTGAGTAAAAGATGACTTGTTTTCCAAACGGCATAAAGATGACGTGTCATTACAGACTTATTTCCATACTTTCATTAATAGGCATTTCAGGCTTGGTTTTGATCCTATGATCCTAACAGGCAACCGTTTATAGGTCCACATGAGTCATCCACTGCTCCACTTGTTCAAGGAGTGCTCCAAGGTTCTGTCCTTGGACATTTGGACATATCCTTTTTTATATTATACATCTACTAGGTCAGATCATTTGAAATCATGGGCTTAATTTCCACTGTTATACTGATGAAATCCAGATCTACATTAGCACTGCATCCCTCACAGTCTCAGCTCAGTCACTAAGTACATGCAGTACAGTTTTAAAACACTGGTTGAATAATAATTTCTTCCTCCACCACGAACTTGTCTCAGACATCAGGCAGTGTATTCATAACCATATCATTTGAAGTGTTTGATTATGCAGAAAAAGGTGGAATTTCCCTTTAAGCGACATCTTTCATGATAGTTTTAAATTTTTACTGCAGCTTCAAACTACAAATTAAAAGTACACTGAGCCCTTAATGTCAGTCTACAACATTCTCTAGGAATATCTGTGACAGGGAATAGCATGACAACCATTTTTCCAGGAGACAGTTGATGCTTTGCCCTGTTGTTTTGCTCTGGAGCCTGAAAAATAAAAAGGTAAATCTTTGTCTACAGTAAAATAAATAATTCGGACAACACTTCTTCCACTTCTTACCACTGAAGCCGTGTAGATGAGGATGAGCCACGAGGATGAGCAGGATGAAGAGACGCATCATTGCAGTTGAGTTCAGCATCTTCATTATTGTTGTAAAGTGAACACATACAGGTGGGCTTACAGGTGAGCTCACTGTACTTAATAGTCTATGAGAGAAACAGTTTGTATATGAACTCAGATGTTAAACACTTGCTTTGGCTGTTACTTGTACACGTAAAAGTACAAGAAACACAAAATCATGTGATACTAATAAAAAGCTATGAGAAACATGTGAAATGGTCAGTCTTACCTTTTACTCTGGTAGAAGCTGCTTCTGCTCCACAGAGCTCTCTGGGTCTTTATAAGACACAGACAGCTTGACATGTTTCAGGAATTAGCATGAAATGACATCACATGGCGATAACTTTTTTCCTTGTTTGCTTTTTTCTTTGCATTTTCTCTGATAGAGCCAAAATGTTTCATTTTTGTTACTGATCTTTTACTGATGTTGTCTTTATGCATTAGAGTAGAAAAATAGAAATACTGAATATTTAATAATATTTAATGTTTCTGCTATGTGTGTGTGTTTGTTTGTTTTTTTTTAAACATGATTGCCTGAAAAAAAAGAAAAACAATGTATAATGATTAAGTTCAATTACAGATATTATAGAAATGATTTAAAGTATTCCTCTAGGGTGTTTCCTGCCTTCTGCCCAGTGACCGCTGGGATAGGCTTCAGCACTTCACTGGTTTCCTTGGCAAATTTTTGCATATCTTAGAAAGTAGATTTTCTGAAAAGCAGCCACAGCTCCCCCAAATGGAAATATACCCCAACCTGTAGTATCAGGAGCAGCGTAATCTGTGCATACTGCATGAGCAGAAATGCTGGATACAGGAGGAGTCCTATTTGTCCGAGGAATGAGGACACCCATGACAACTACCACCCACACGACTGAAGTCCTCGACAGGAGAACCACCGGAGCAACCGCTGACACAACTAGACCATAAATCCAAGGGATGTCCCCTGGGATGACTCCAAAGATGGGGAGCAAGCCGTTCGAGAAACTGCCAGTGAAAGCCAGCTATAAGTGCAGGGTCTAGGATATGCCTGGCTGGTAACCAACACTGCTCCTCAGGTCCATATCCCTCCCAGTCCATGAGATATTGAAGGGTCCCTCCACACCTACAGTCCAACAGCTGTCAGATATCACCCTGTCTGCCAACCTCTGCTGGTGGAGGTACCTTCATATACCTGAAATGACAGATTTGAGAAGGAAAGAATGTGAAACACGGTACTAAGCAGCAAGTCTAACTGGTATGTGACTTCATTGATTTTTTTTCTAAATCAGGACCCATAAGGACCCATAGTCAATATTTTGCACCCTTCAGCAAACCTGAAGTCACTGGTTGACAGCCAGATAGGAATGGACTATGGTGGCCATACCACCATGGTCCATTCCAAAGCCTTTTTAGTGAGGCATGAGACCACAAAGGCTATCTTGGCCTGATCTGAACTAATAGGGGAATTACTAAAAAAAAGAGCACTGTAACAAAAATCCTCGGCATTTTTCAACTGAGTAGTGAGTTCCTTCATACTCGTAACCAGCCATGACAGCTGATCTTGCTGCTCACCTTGCTGATGAGCCAGATTCTTCAGGGATTGTGACGACTCTTCTAGCAGTTGCTGGTGTTGACTTAGTAGCTGGTCAAGGTTGGCTATGACCCTCTGGAGAGCCTCTGCATCTGCCATCCTTGATTCAGGTGAAGTGTTTTGTGATGAATCAGGTTGGGTCAAACACACACAGATTCAAAGGACTTTTACTATAAACAGGAAAATCCAAATTCACACTACTGATACAGGCCAGGATCAATACCACAGTATTGCACAGTAATATGAAAACATGACTCAAAGAGCAAAAACCAGGGACAGTCCAATATTAAACAGGAGAAAAAACACTGAGCTAAAACTACAAAAGATCAGAGCAAAACATCAAAATCAAACAAGAAAAGAATGCTCAGTATGCACAGGAAAGAGATCACTGGAGCAATACTTTGTATAATATAAAAAGATGTAAATATTTTCAGAAGTTGAAATTTGGTGAATAGAGTTTAGGACCAACACCTCCCAGTGGAAATTACCCTATGGTTTAGTAAATATTTAGCTTACTAATCTCTGTTAATTACCTTTTAATACATAGTCCCATAGTTTTTTCAATGTAATGAGTGTGGTGGATGTTCTGCTAATAAAGTAATTAAAAAATGATCAGTATTGTCTTCTGTTCAAACGGGTTTTCATTGAAGCTTCTCCATCAGAAGCCCAGGAGAGATTCTGGCTTTCACTTCACTCTCGAAAGTGTAAATGTTTATACAGAATATATATATTTATAGCCACACACAAGCATGTTTTTCATAGATGTGCTGACATAAGTGAAAACTCTCACCCTAAGGTTAAAGCTTTTCCTGTTATCTTCAATAAGTAGAAGAAACACAGTAAAGCAGAAGAGGAACAACAATGGTTCTTCAGATTAATGGAGAATGTGTTATATATGGTTCTATATAGCACCAAAAAGGGTTCAGCTATTATTACGATGTCAAGCAACAACAGAGGAACCATTTTTGATGCTACCTAGAACCATTTACAACCCATTCTTCATCAATCTGAAGAACCATTTCACCATACAAAGAACCACATAAGCATGCAAATGGGTCTTGAGTGTTCATAGTTCCATATAAAACCAGAGTCTTTAAGACATCTTGAAGAATCATCTTTTTAAAAGTGTGTATTGGCAGATAATTTTGTTTATTTTTTGTTTATTATTTCTTAAAACAAGCAAAAACAACCACAGTAAAAAAATTCATAAAGTGGGCAAAGACATTTTAGTTTTTTTTTTTAAAGACATTTTTGACTTTTTTTCATGAATTTATTGTTTTCATGCTTTTTATTGTTTATTTGTATGTAGAATGTATTTGTTTATGGCAGGTGGAGGTCAGGTGACTGGCTGATGTTTCCCTTTTTGCATTAGAATTTTTCCCTCTTTCTAGCCTGGTGTTCTCTTTGATCTTGAAATTTCAAATGAATTATTAAAGAATGCAAATGCATATAAAATCAGTAACATTTTACTGATTATTTTGACACTATTATTGTATAATTGAATACATTTTAATTTAAATAAAGCAAGTCATAAGGCATCTAAATCTCTGTGTAAATGAAAAAGCAGTACTAGTGCACCAATTAGCAAATTAAAAGAGTAAATCTGAATTTGAATTTTTTTATTTTGAGCCAAAAATTGCATGTAAGAGTATGAAATTTACATTTAAATACATTCATTTTACATATTATATTTTAATTTTAATTTTGCTGCTGACGAGCTTCCATCAGACAACAACTTATGACAGGCTCAGGGAACAGAGCACAGAGCAGGTGTCGCTGTTCTACAGGATACTTTCCTGTAATGTCATTGTCTTACACTGCTATGATCTTCCACAAGGACGGTTCTTTCTTCTGGTCCTTTCAAACAACCAAGTATTGTTGTAATAATTAATGTTTATAGTTAAAACACTCCCAACTAAAATGATTATCTGTTTGACTTAATGGGTGAATAAATATTATGTGGTTAAATAGAGCTCCCAGCGCTTTTTTAGTTTTAGGAGGAGATTTTAACACTGTACCAGACAATAATCTTGACAGAAAACCACCAAGAAAAATGAAAAGCTTTCAGCTAGAAGTTAAACAGTTCTCTTCTTTCACATATTTTTTTTTAAACCAAACAAAAGCTTGGGATCTGAATAATCTTAGTCATTAGTGGAAGGACATTTTTATTTTAAAGTGTTTACATGATTGTGAATCATTTCAACCCCTAGCAGTCTTTGTTTTTGTTTGTTTTCATCATCTTTATGTGCAGTTCATTGTATATGTGTGTGATAAGCATAAGCTACATATTGTTATGCACGGTTTAAAAAAAAAGGAAAAAGAAAGATAAGAAGTCCTAAAACTGGAGTTCAAAAGTGTTGAAATGTATAAAAACAGGGATGACTGAGTCCATTTTATATATACTGTCAATGGCTGAAACCTACTAAACCATTTGAAGAAGAAAAAACCCAAACTCTGCTGAAAACAAACCAGATGGGAAAACAGCTTTAAAGTGGACTGAGGCCAGTGATCTTTTTACCTGAACAAAGGTCGTGTTCACACTTCAAAGCAAACAAAACTAAAGAATAAGTGTGATGAGCCGTAACCAAACAATGTAGGTGTGAAGGCGTCCTTAGTTAAGAAATATTCCTTTAACATTAGTTAGTTAGTGTATGACAGTAAGACCATATTGACCAGATTAGTGAGCTGCAGCTCCTCTCACTGAACACCAACTCACAGTGGTTTTACTGTGTGAGAAAAGTCCCGCCTCTCTGCTCAAATGGAGACTGTGATTGGTTCTGCAGCTGAGTTATTTTTAGTTTTGTGTCTATAAGTCAGAGATGTGCAGTTTAGAGAGAGCAGAGATTTTCTTTTTGATATAAGTATCTCAAAAAATTGATGGGGTATCGGTCAAATGCCCCTTGACCCCACACACACACCTGGCCCTGTCAATTCTGCTTCCTACAACAGTAAACGTTTTGAGCTATAACAACATTTTTCTTAAAAAAAAAAAATATATTGGATGGTAACGATGCTAAAGGGCAAATATAATATCAGTCATGCTTCAGTCTTTTTATTGGTTTTTTAGAAGTTACACATGACAGTCCAGAAAGGAGCAAGAATTACACAATTCATTTTATGTGCTGATCTTCATCTTTCACATTTTCATATCTAATGATTGTTTCATGACATAAATCATCAGACAGTCAAAGCGAATCAGCCTGTATTACCCCTATTAACCAGTTGACATTTCATGATGCTAATCTTACCTACACTGTGCAGTTTGTAAACACGTCTACATTTACTAAAGTATGGTGGCTTAGCTGTGACAGGTTCATATTTAAACACTTCATAAGGGGGTATCAGCACTTCAGCCTCCCCTGGATAGTCTGATATGTCTGCTATATCAGCACCGTAGCATGTAGTGATGATAAAACAGGTCTCTTTTCCAAAGTCTTCCAGTGTAGGATCAAGTGAAGAAGAAGCAAAACTACCAAATCGCACTAAGGTGTCCGTTATGTCGATCTCAGTGTTCGTGCGACGGTAAGTGGTTTGGCACTTGTACTGAGGACATTGTTTGGCATTGCGAGTTTGGATACCATCTGTCATCAGAAAGTGTAAAGAGATCAACCCAAAGTTGGTCATGTAGGTCCCTCTACCCTCACGCATTTTATCATTAAGTTCACTGTAAATGTTGTCTCTGGTGTACGCTCGAAGGGCTGTGTTTGTCAAGTTCTCCCTTGTTAAAGCAGAGTCTGATATATTTTCTAAACCAAAGTCTTTTTTGGCATCATTCCAATCAATGCTGAAATCCTCATTGGAGCTCAACTCTTTATTCAGTAACTGTTTAGTAACAAAACAATACATTGCTTCTTTGCATCCCATAAATTCATCATCAATGGAGTTGAGATATAAATTCATAGTGATCTGAAACCAAACAAAAGCCATTATGAACTCATTCATCTCATTATTAAAAAGAATGCTAATGATGCATATAATAGCTGCTACATGCCCAGCAGTCAGCATGTCATCTCAAGACACATTTGTAAAACGGAATTCCACCATTTTTTCAAAATATCTACATATTTCTATTGTTGAGATGAAAATAAAATCATTTTATTTGAAATGGTTGATGTAGAGACACAGATGTCTTTACAGTGGTGGTGATAGGAACCAGGAGTCACCCTGACCACAACACAAATATAAACACTTTATTTACTATCCAAAACCACCAGTGAACCTACATGAGTCTTCTGAGTTTATATGGAATGATGATAAAGGAAAAATGGTGGAAAATCTGAAAATAATACGTTTTCTTTGGGGACTATTTTGTTCCTCTACCATTCATTTTAAAAACAATGCATTTTAGGCCAATTTTTTTTAAAACTATCATAAAACAATGTCTCAGTCATCAGGCAGTGAATTCATAACCATTTCATGTAATAACTTTCTGTGAGGGAGCTTTAAGGGGTGGACGTCTGGTTCCTATCACCACCACTGTGAACAATTCTGACTCAGTAAGTTTATCTAGAACAGAGCGTTTCACACCAAACCACTCTGAATGAGTCTGTTAACATCTAAATTGTTTAATTGTACAAAAATGTAAGAGGTGGAATTCCTCTTTAAGCACCTTTCATTTTGTAATAGTTTCAAAATTTTATGGTAGTAAAATATGGTAGTCTCAGACTACAAATTAAAAAATATCAGTTTACAACATTCTTTAGGAACATCTGTGACAGTGAATAGCAGCCCTGCCGTTTCTTTTTGCTCTGGAGTCCGAAATAAAAAAAAGGTTCATCTTTGCATTAAAATAAACAATTTGGACAACATATATAAATTCCACTTCTTACCGCTGGAGCTGTGTGTACAGCGAGGATGAGGAGGATGAAGAGACGCATCATTGCAGTTGAGTTCAGCATTTTTATTATCTTCCTAAAGTGAACAGATACAGGTGGGCTTACAGGTGGTCTCACTGTAAGTAACAGTCCACAAGACAAACAGTGGTGTATTTTGAACTCACTTACTTTGGCTGTTGTACATGTAAAAGTATAAGAAATAAAATTAAGAAACTAATAAAGAGCTATAAAAGCTCACAGGACTCAGCAACAGTGATTTCAGTTGAAGACAACATGGCTGATAAATAGTGACCCATGAACAGAGTCTGAATCTGGTTTCTCTAATATCGTCTTCAGTTTAGCTGAGATTTGGTGTCTGAGAGGAACATTTCATACTGATTACATCATTTTATTATTCAGCAAATCATTTAGTTTCCAAATACTGTGTGAACTAATTTTCACCTACAAAATCAAAAGAACATGTCATTTGACCAGGGGTGCCCAAACTTTTGCACATGACAGAATTTCTATATGAAACATGTGAAATGTTCAGTCTTACCTTTTGATCTGGTAGAAGCTGCTTCTGCTCCACTGAGCTCTCTGGGTCTTTATAAGACACTGACAGCTTGACGTGTTTCAGGAATTTGCAGGAAATGACTTCACATTATGATTTTTTTTTTTTGTTTCCTTTTTTTATTGCTCTGAAAAATCTTTGCTTTCAGTTAATGATGTTAAAATAGGGCTATCTTTACACATTAGAATAGAAAAATAGAAATATTCAATATTTGATAATATTTAATAATAATTTAAAATTCTGCTAGGTGTGTGGAATTTGTGTGTGTGTGTGTGTGTGTGTGTGTGTGTGTGTGAGAGAGAGAGAGAGAGAGAGAGAGAGAGAGAAAGAGAGCAAGAGTGAGAGTCAGTTTTTAAAGTTTTTAAACATGATAACATGAAAATGAAAAAAAATTAAAAGTGTTATGATTGAGTTTAATTACAGAAATGAGTAAAAGTACTTTCCTTTATATTTCTATTATATACTTTTAATGAGAGGACACAAAGGTCAAACTTTGATCCCAGCACAGGTCAGCACACTGGTAATTTTGGTTGATTGATAAGTTGTCTATGGGGTAAAATAAAAAAAAAAGCTTTTTTTAAAATGATCTTTTAATAATAATTATTGTCCAAAATATAGGGTCTGTTTCCTGGACTAAACTGCAATGACAGTTATTTCTCCATTAGAAAAGTCATAAGTTTAGTCTTAGTTGTTATCTGGTTCTGGGAAAACTGGCCTTTAGACACAGAAACTGTATCCATAACCATTTAATCCTTATAACTGTGTAAATATGTGATTTCCCAGGCTTATTAAAGTGTACTATTCAGTTACTTTATGGAAATAAACTGGCTGAATTATCTTTAAGTTATATTGTAGAAGAATGGAAGTCTGGACCTGCCAACCGCTCCTGACCATTTAAGGGGATTAACTCTGCATTGTTTATTGTTTAATTGAATTGTGTAATTGAACTGCTTATTACTTAGTGAATCTTATCGAGTGCTGCCCAAAGTGGGATTGTTCTGCTGTTGAGTCTTAGCTCCTCTAGACCCTGATTTCTATTAAAGTAGTCTAGGAAGTCTGGAATCTGGTGGACTATATAAATAAATTTTCATTTTATTCATGGTTCCAGGTTGCATTGCTTCCAAAGGCCCTGGAGATCTTGGTAGGATCTATGGTGTCATGAACGCTGCTGAGATCCAGAACATCAGTTTCCAGAGTAAAATGTAGCTGCTTCTGCCAGGAGACTAAAAACTGATGCCTGATCTTCTTTCAGGACGATGATCTAAAGCCATCCTCAAAAATGACTCATGACTCACATTAACAATGTAACATTGTCAGATCAGTAGCAGTAAAAACTACTGATGGACAGAATCATGGGTTATATAACAATTATAATGTTGAGTTGTGATAATCACCTCTAACACGAGATTCTGATGAACCTAGAGATCTACATGATAACACATTACAGTTCTACACACCTTAACACTGTCATACGCAGTTGAGAGACAAAGTTTGTGGAGCTTTTAGGATTTTGTGGATTTCTGTCTAAACAGCTCCTAAAGTGAGAGAATTTCACTCAGAAGTTTGAGGAGGAATCTGAAGAGGAAACCAGCCGTTTATCCAGATCTCTGGAGCAAAAACAAAATTTCGCTCTTGTTTTGGGCTCTACTCAGGTGCAAAGTTTTATTGTGGGTAATAATAATACATTTATTAAATTAGTAAATTTAAATTAGTAAATTTCATTTTTCAGGAAGGCTTTAGATCACTGTCCTGGTGGAAGAGTGTGTTGAATATTCTGCTAATAAAGAAATTCACAAATGATCAGTTTTGTCTTCTGCTCAAATATGTTTTTATTGGAGCTTCTCCATCACGATCCCAGGATCGATTCTGGCTTTCACTTCACTCTCGAAAGTGTAAATGTTTATACAGAACATATATATATATATATATATATATATATATATAGTCAAACATAAGCATGTTTTTAATAGATATGCTGACATAAGTAAAAACCCTCGCCATAAGGTTAAAGCTTTTCCTGTTATCTTTAGAAAGCAGAAACACAGTAAAGCAGAAGAGGAACAGCCCAGGACCCTGACTGTAAACTGAGGTATGGTGAAATGGTTCTTCAGGTTAAAGGAGAATGTGTTGTATATGGTTCTATATAGCACCAAACAGGGTTCAGCTATTATTACAATGTCAAGCAACAACAGAAGAACCATTTTTGATGCTACCTTACAACACATTCTCCATCAATCTGAAGAACTATTTCACTTTAAGAGTGTATATTGGCAGATAATTTTATTTGTTTCAAGCATTATTTCTTAAAACAAGCAAAAACAATCACAGTAAATAATAATAAATCTATATAATTCATACATTTTTGTAACGTTTTTTATGAATCTATTGTTTTCATGCTTTTTATTATCTATTTTTGTGTAGAATGTATTTGTTTATGGCAGGTGGAGGTCAGGTGACTCACTGATGTTTCCCTTTTTGCATTAGAATTTATCCCTCTTTCTAGCCTGGTTTTTTTTAGAGAGTGCAAATGCATGTAAAATCAACCACATTTTACTGATAACTGTGACACCATTATTGTATAATTTAATACATTGTCATTAAAATAATTTATTATTGCATAACATAATATATTTCAATTTGAATAAAGCTACTCATAAAGCATCTAAATCTCTGTGTAAATAAAAAAAGCAATACTAGTGCACTAAATTTGAATTTTAAATTTGATTTTTTTTTATTTTGAGTCCAAAATTGCATATAAGAGTATGAAATTTACATTTAAATACATTTTCTTTTTACATTTTATATTTTAATTTTAATTTTGCTGCTGATGAGCTTCCATAGGACAACTTAAAAGGCTTAAGGAACAGAATACACAGCAGATGTCGCTGTTCTACAGCATATTTTCCTGTAATCTCAATGTCTCACGCTGTTATGATCAACTACAAGGACAGTTCAGTCTTCTGGTCATTTCAAACAACCAAGCATTAGCTGCAATAATTAATGTTTATGGTTGTAACAATCCCAACTACAATGATTATCTGTTTGACTTAATGGGTGAATAAATATTATATTGGGTAAATAGATTCTAACACTACCAGACAACAATCTTGACAGAAAACCACCAAGAAAGACGTCAACTAATAAACACCATGTGCTCGATTTATGGAGAGAGAAATATCCACTAAATGGAGCACTGAAGATTTGTCTAAGCAATCTTGCATAGATTAATAGCTTATTTCTCGTCAGAGTATTGATTATGATAGATTTTGTGTAAATATACATGCCACACCACTGAATGATCACAAGGCGATTTTATTAACATTGATTTCTCCTCAGAATCTCCAATTCCTAAAGCTTTCAGCTGGAAGTTAAACAATTCTCTCCTTTCACATTATTGTCTTAATCCAAAGCCAGTGCTTTAATAATTTTAGTCATCGGTTGGAGCAGCAGAAGGACATTTCTATTTTAAAGATTTTACTTCATTGTTTATTATTTTGACTCCATGCAGTCTTTTTGATTTTGTCTGTTTTCATTGTGCATCTTTATGTGCAGTTCATTGTGTTAGGAAAGTTAGGAGCTAGGGGCAGATACTGACTTTCATGTTGGAACCACATGGGGGCGCCAACCACCTCACATATGCCTTTATTAATTGAAATGGTGCTCAGCTGGGTGGTGGAGACCAACGGCGGGAAAACAGGGTGAACCTGCGGATGTCTTTCTCTCTCCCTCTCTCTCTCTCTCTTATGCCCTCGTTCCCCTTCTTGGACTCCTATTGTATATATTTTGGATTTTTGTCGAGCACCCATTCCACTGACTGATAAAACTTGAACACTATCACAGTTTGAGTTGGCCTTCGGTGGGGGATTTCCAACTAGACTTAGACATACACTTTTACTTAGGCTTATGTTTCACGCTAAATCGCAACACGTAGGGACAGCGGGCCTTGGTTACAGTCAGGACGAGAATATATTAATTAGACCCTAGACAATTTGCCATTTCTTTCGGCCTTAGTGTTTCCTGAGCTCGTAACAATTGTATATGTGTGTAATAAACATAAGTTATGTATTGTTATGGACTGTTTTGAGACAAAGCAAGACCCTTCAATCTGCGAGGAGATGCGACCCCTGGGCAGAAAGTGTTTTGTGATGTTGTCCGTACAGCTGGAGGAGGTTCATACTGAGCACTTGTAAAATTAGATAATAAACTTTATGCTCATTTAAACCATTTACAGTTTACTGCATTGTTCTGTAATGATTTACAAGTGAAATAAATCTTTTTGAAATGTATAACAGCAGTGTTGAAATATGTATAAAAAAACAGAGATGACTGGGTCCAGTTTAAATATGCTGTTAATGTGTGAAACCAACCAAACCACATGAAAAAAAAAAAAATACAAAAACCCAAACTCTGCTGAAAACAAACCAGAAGGATTTTTTTTTTTTTACCTGAACACAGGTCAAGTGCTGACACATTAAAAAGGACCAAACTATAGAAAAAGTGTGATAAGCCGGCACCAGACAAGGTAGGTATGAATGCAAACGTAGCTATTAAATATTCAACTAGCATTAGTTAGTTACTGTATGGCAGTAAGAGTGTTTTTACCAGATTAGTGAGCTGCAGCTCCTCTCACTGAACACCAACTCACAATGGTTTTACTGTGTGAGAAAATCCCACCTCTCAGCTGAAATGGAGACAGTGATTGGTTCTGCAACTGAGTTCTTTTTTAGTTTTGTATCTATAAGTCAGTGCTGTGTGCAGTTTAGAGAGAACAGAGATTTTCCTTTAGATGTAAGCGTTCTTAAAAAGTGGTGGAGTATCGCCCCAGTACTCTGAAAAGTGGAGGGTCAAATGCCCATTGCCCCCCCACCCGACCCCATCAATTATGTGTCCTCCAACAGCAAACTTTTTGAACAATGACATTTTTCTTTGGGTGGAAACGTAGCTAAAGTAAAGGACAAATACAATCACACCGCTTTAGTCACGCTTCAGTCTTTTTATTCATTTTTGTAGAAGTTACACATGACAGTCCAGAAAGGACCAAGAATTACAGAATTCATTTTGTGTGCTGGTCTTCATCTTTCACATTTTCATATCTAATGATTGTTTCATGACATAAATCATCAGACAGTCAAAGCGAATCAGCCAGCGTTAACCTTATTAACCAGTTGACATTTCATGATGCTAATCTGACCTACACTGATCAGTTTGTAAACACGTCTACAGTCACGTTTAAATTCTTCTGGAATATCCGAGTCCTTTATATCTGGGTCCTGTATGAACAGTTCGTAAGGGGGTATCAGCACTTCAGCTTCAGGTGGAAGCACTGATACGTCTGATATATCAGCACCGTAGCATGTAGTGATGATAAAACAAGTCTCTTTTCCAAAGTGTTCCAGTGTAGCCTTGAGTGAAGAAGAAGCAAAACCACCAAATCGCACTAAGGTGTCTGTTAGGTCAATCGTAGCCTTTGTGCGACGGTAAGTGGTTTGGCACATGCCCTGAGGACGTTGTTTGGCATTGCGAGTTTGGATACCATCTGTCATCAGAAAGTGTAAAGAGATCAACCCAAATGTGTTCGTATAGCTGCCTCTACCCTCACGCATTTTATTATTAAGGTCACTGTAAATATTGTTTCTGGTGTACGCTTGAAGGGCTATGCTTCTCAAGTTCTCCCTTGTTAAAGCAGTATTTTCTAAACCAAGGCGTTTTTTGGCAGCATTCCAATCTGTCTTGAAGTTCTCATTGGAGTTCAACTCTTTGTCCAGTAACTGCTTAGTAACCCGATCATACATTTCTTCTTTGCATCCCATGAAATCATCATCAATGGAGTTGGGATATCCAGTCATAGAGATCTGAAACCAAATAAAATCCAATATAAACTCATTAATCATATTTTTCATATGAATAATAATAATTGTGCATAATATCTGCTACATGCCCAGCAGTTAGCATGTCATCTCAAGACATTTGTAAAGTGGAATTCCACCATTTTTTCAAAATATTTGCAAAATTCAATCCTTGAAGTGTAAAAAAAATATTTTATGTAAAATGGTTGATTGTGGAGACTCCGTCACTCTCAGACACTGTCTTTACAGTGGTGGTGATAGGAACCAGGGGTACTATCCAAAACCACCAGTGAAGCCACAGTAATTTGTATATGTATGTTGATGATGATAAAATTACGTTTTCTTTGAGGTCTATTTTGTCCTGCATATATGCCTCCATTGTTAATTAAAAAAAAATCATTTTGGGCCAAAATCCTCTGAAAACTATCCTAAAACAGTGTCTCAGTCATCAGGCAGTGAATTCATAACCATTTCATTTAGTAACTTTCTGTGAGGGAGCTTTTAGAGGTGGACATCTGGTTCCTATATATCAGAGCTTTTAACACCAAACCACTCTGAATGACTTCATTTACATCTTAATTATTTAATTATGCAGAAATATAAAAGGTGGAAATCCTCTTTGAGCAACATCTATGATTTTGTCATAGTTTCAAAATGTCACTGTAGTAACTGCAGTCTCAAACTACAAATTTAAAAGCATCAGTTTACAGCATTCTCTAGGAATATCTGTGACGGTGATAGCAGCCCTACCTTCATTCCAGGAGACATTCGGCGCCTTGCTTTGCTGTTTTGCTCTGGCGTCTGAAAAAAAAAGTTAAATCTTTGTCTGCATTAAAACAAATCATTTGAAACACATTTATAAATTCCACTTCTTACCGCTGGAGCCGTGTATACAGCGAGGATGAGGATGATGAAGAGACGCATTATTGCAGTTGAGTTCAGCATCTTCATTATCGTCCTAAAGTATGAAAATAGTATTGAACTCAGTATTTGAACTCAGATGTTAAGCACTTATTTTGGCTGTTACTTGTAAATGTAGAAGTGCAAGAAACACAAAATCATAAGAAACTATAAAAGCTCACAGCACTTGGCGACACTGATTTCAGCTGAAGACAACATGGCTGATAAATAGTCACCCATGAACAGAGTTCTGTAATATTGTCTTCAGTTTAGCTGAGATTTGCTGTCTAGGAGGAACATTTCATATTGATTATGTCATTTTACTGTTCAGCAAATCATTTAGTAACCAAATACTGTGTGAACTAATTTTCATTTAGAAAATCAACAGAACATGTCATTTGACCAGGAGTACCCAAACCTTTGCAAATTATAAGAAACACATTAAATGATCAGTCTTACCTGTTAATCTGGTAGAAGCTGCTTCTGCTCCACTGAGCTCTATGGGTCTGTATAAGACACTGACAGCTTGACAGGTTCCAGGAATTTGCATGAAATGACATCACATGGTGATCATTTTCTTATGTCCTTTTTTTCATTTTCTCTGAAAAAGCCTAAATGTTTGCTTTCAGTTGCTTATGGTAAAAATAGGGTTATCTTACACTTTCGAATAGAAAAATAGAATATAGAGAAATAGAGCAAGAGAGTGAGAGTCAGTTTTTAATTTTTTAAAAAAACATGATAATATGAAAATGAAAAAGAAGAGTTTCATTATTTTATAGAAATGAGTAAAAGTATTTTCCTCTAAATCAGTATTGGTCTATTACACAGTACTGATCCAAAAACACACAGGTCAAACGTAGATCCCAGCACAGGTCAGCGCATTCTTAACTTCTTTGATGAGTTATTTATGGGGAAAAATAAAAAGTTCTTTTTAAATGGTCTTTTAATAATTGTTACTGTTTAAGCTAAAATAAATATAGGGTAGGTTTCTTGGACTAAAGTCCAATGCCATGGTGTTTCTCAATTAGACATATCATTAGTTTAGTCTTAGTCCTAATCTGAGTCTGGGAAAACTGGCCTGTAGACTTAGAAACTGTATTCATAACTATTTAATCCGTATAACTGTGAACATGTGTAATTTCCCAGGCTTATTAAAGCATAGTATTCAGTGACTTTATGGAAAGCGATATAATCTGTCTGAATTCTTTTTAAGTTGTAGAACAATGGGAACCTGGACCTGCTGACCGCTCCTGACCATTTAAGGTAGTTCATTCTGCATTGTTATTGATTAACTTCAATTATTTAATTGAATTGCTTATTACTTAGTGAGTCTTATCTTGTGCTGCCCAGAGTGGGATTGTTCTGCTGTTGAGTTTTGGCTCCTCTAGACCCTGATTTTTATTAAAGAAGTCTAGGAAGTCTGGAATCTGGTGGACTCTATAAATATTAATTTTCATTTTATTCATGGTTTCAGGCTGCACTGCTTCCAAAGACCCTGGAGATCTTGGTAGGATCCATGGTGTCAAAAACACTGCTGAGATCCAGAACATCAGTTTCCAGAGTAAAATGTAGCTGTTTCTGCTAAGAGATTAAAAACTGATGCTTGATATTTCAGCACAAATGACTCATGACTCATAACAAAAAATAGCCATAAAATTCAAAGTATTCAGTTTAGTGGCAGAAAAAACTAATGATGGACAGAATCGTGGGTTATATTGACCTTAGATATGAAAAATTCAGACCATTATTATGCTGAGCTATGATAATCACCTCTAACACGAGATTCTGAACAAGATGAACCCAGAGATTTACATAATAACACACTACAGGTCTGAATGTTCAGATTGAATACATATAAGCTATGTTCACATTACAAGCCTCATTGCTCAAATCCGATCTCTCTGTCAGGATGGTTCACACTCGTTTAGGTAAGTGATTCAAATCTGTCATTAATGTGAAGGAACCGGTCTCCTGAAATGACCCGCATGCGCACATCCTATTCAGTAACGTCACGTGAATGAGTCACATGTGTCACGTGCATCATCAGCAAACAAACAATCAGAACGAGCCTTCGCTGTGAAGATAATTAACTCTGATCAGCTCTCAGCTGTTCATTATTAGAGCGAGACGAAGGTGAAAAAAGTGAGATGTGTTGCTTTTCGACCGGTGCTGCTGTCAAGGTACCGTTGAATTATGGCGCACGCGCAGTGGAAAAAAGTACATAAATTCCGATCTGAGCGTTCACATTAAGGTCACATGGCCACAAATTAGATAAGTATCCAATCTAGGACCACATATGAAAGTGACTCAGGTTGAATTTGAAAAGATCAAATTTGGTGTCCACACAGCCCTGAAAACATCAGATCTGAGTCACATTAGGGCAAAAAATTGGATTTGTGCCACTTCAGCCTGGTAATGTGAACGTAGCCATGTAGTCACACACAAGCATGTTTTAGATGTGCTGCCATAAGTGAAAACTCTCCCCATAAGGTTAAGGTCTTTCCTGTTATCTTCACAAAGCAGAAGAAACAGAGTAATGCAGAAGAGGAACAACCCAGGACACTGACTGGAAACTGTAACATCCTCAATACTCATACTTCTACTCATTTTTCTAAGAATTTATCTAGACATTCGCTCATATGGTTTCCTGATCTTTTCTGAGCTAATATTCCAGAGCATACTGTTTTTGTTCAGGGCCTTAACTGTAGACCACAAAACCAGTCAGGACAGAGTCAGCCTGTCAGAACATAATGGTCACACAGGGACAGTATAATGGAGTTTAAATCACCAATCACCACTTTCCTCAATCCTTATTAACAATAAGGCAAAATACACGCATAGGAATAAAGGCAATATGACGAAATGAAACACTATTGAACATCAGCATAGTCAAATTCACTGTCAGGGATGAAAATGCAGCAGGAAGTGTTCAGAACATGGCACACACCTCCCTTTGCAGTGTCAAGACATCTACAACTTTTCTACTTTCCATTAACTAATTTTATGGCTGAACTGGTTTCATTGGTAAATTTCTGTGTAGATTAGGGATCAGGGTCTTGTCGTGGCAGAGAGGCTAAGAGCTAAGTCATCTGGAGCAGTATGCTCCTGGTAGGGTCTCCCAAGGTCTGGAGTGAAGACTCAGACTAACTTGATCCAAAATCCCCCCATGTTTAAGAGACACAAAATACCATGTACCCTGCATGGGAGAGGGTTACTGGGACCTACCCCTGGAGCCAGGCCTGGGGGTAGTGTTCCTTGGTGAGTGCCTGGTGGCCAGGCAGCCCATGTAACCTGGCCAGGCTCAGCCCAAAAAGGCAATGTAGGGGGACTTGGCAGCATGGACCCCTGTGGCAGAAACTGGTTCCTTAGCATGTGGAACATAACCTCGCTGGGGGGAAGGAGCCGGAGCTTGTGTGGGAGGTTGAGAGGTGCCAACTAGATACATTTGGGCTCACCTCCACTCACATTGTCAGCTCTCAATCCATACCCCTTAATAGGGGTTGGTCCCTCTCCTACTTAGAAGTTGCACAGGGTAAAAGGTGCCAAGGTGGTGTGAGGATACTCACAAGCCCCAGGCTGGCTGCCATGGAGTTGTTTTTTGTCCCAGAGGACGAGAGGGATGCCTCAATGCGAATTAAAATCACAGGGAGGAAACTCTGACTGTTGTGTGCACCAAACAACAGTTCAGAGTATTTGGCCTTCTTGAAGCGAGTTTGTGGGGTTCTGGAAAGGGCCCTACCTCCAGACTCTATAGTCTTGCTGGGAAGCTTCAGTGCTCATGTTGGCAATGTTGGCAATGACTGGGAAACCTGGAGGGGGGTAATCAGAAAAAACAGCTTGTCCAATCTAAACCCAAAGGGTGAATTATTATTGGAATTCTGTGCTAGGCATGTATTGTCCATAACAAACACCAAGTTCAAACACAAGCATGTTCATAAATGTAATTGGTAGCAGAACACCTTGGGTCAAAGGTCAATGATCGACTTTGTTGTTTCATTTGACTTGTGACCATATTTCAATGGTCAACGTGTGAAGAGAGGTGCTGAGTTGTCAAGCAATCATCATCTGGTGGTGAGTTGGATCATATGGCAGGGAAGACTGGTGATTAGACCTGGTAGACCCAAGTGAATAATAAGGGGGTTTTACAGAGGCTGGCAGAGGCTATATACAGGAGAACTTTTCTCATTTGCTGGAAGAGATAGGGGACATGAAGTCTAAATGGACCTCCATTGTGGAAGCTGCCAGGCATAGCTGGGGCAAAAAGCTTGTTGGTGCCTGTCAGGACAGCAACCCAAGAACCCCCTGGTGGGCACCAGTGGTGAGGAAGGCCATCAAGCTAAGAAAGAAGCCTTTAGGGACTTGTTGGCCTGGTGGACTCCCAACAGATAGGTACCGATGGTTGAGAAAAGGCAACAACAGGCCATGGAAAAAGACTTTTGGCTGGCTTCAAGGAGGTTCTAGACAGCTCAAAGGTGGTCATAGTGGCTTCACTCAAGCCGTACTGAGCAGGGATGGAGACAGTAAGACTTCAAATGAGGATATTGTCGGTAACTCGTAAACCTGACAGACATACCGCCTTCATGGGAGTCAGGGCCAGAAACTCCATTTCCCTGGTGGAGGTCACTGAGGTAGTTGGTTAGCTCCTCAGTGGCAAGGCACTGGGGGTGGATGAGATTTGCTCAGAAATGCTTAAGGCTCTGGATGCTGTGGGGCTGTCATGGCTGACATGCTTCTGCAATGTCGCATGGACCTCATGAACAGTACCCTTGTTCTGGCAGACTTTGGTGGTGGTGCCTATTTTTAAGAAAGGGGATCAGAGAGTGTGTGCCAATTACCGGGGTATCACACTGTTCAGCCTTCCTGGGAAAGTTTATGCCAAGGTGCTGGAAAGGAGACTCCAACTGATAGTCAAAGCTTGGATTGAGGAGGAACAATGCAGATTCCATCCCGGCAGTGGAACAATGGATCAGCTTTTCATCCTCACGCAGATTGCTGAGGGGGCATAGGAGTTTGCCAACCCAGTCTTCGTATGTGTTGTGGACTTGGAGAAGGCTTACAACCATGTTCCCTGAGATATTCTGCTGTAAGTCCTCTGGGAGTATGGGGTGCTGGGCCACTACTCCAGGCCATTCACTCTTTTGTACTCCCAGAGTGAGAGTGGTGTCCATATACTCCGCATTAAGTTAAGCTCATTCAGTGTGAGTGTTGGTTGTGCCACTCCTGGAGACAGAGTGTCAAGGCATAGCTGAGGTCAGGAGGGCATTATGTGTGGAGTTCAGAGGGTGGTGTCTCTGCTTTTTGCAGATGATGTCCTTTGGGCTCCATCACATGGATGCCTCCAGTGCTCACTGGAGCAGTTTGCAGCTGAGTGTAAAGTCGTTGATATGTGGATCAGCACCTCCAAGTTTAAGTCCACGATTTTATCCCAGAAAAGAATGGCATTCCCACTCTAGGTAAGGGGAGAGGACCTGACTGAATGGAAGAT